GGAATGCGACCGTATGTTCTATGGTAATTGTTGCTCATCTGGATGAGTACTATCACCCCTCTTAATTTGTAAAAACAATTTAGAATCACCCTGTATATATATCTGCGTATACAGCCACACATATACGTACATACAACATACATTTCTTAATCCGGCCCCAATAACAGAAGAGTATCGAATTTTCTGTTACAGTCACGGTATAAAAAAAGAAATTGCCAAGATGTGGCTAAATCTAAACCTCCTTTTGTGAAATTGCCCCTTTGGCCTAAAAAAGTCGGTCAGTTAGCTGCTTTTAAAGATTGCGCATTTGGCCCGCACTCAATTTATATTTGAAACTACTGCCTTACTTGACAAAGTGAAAGAAAATAAAGGATCATTATTTATGTTAAATTTTGCTGAAAGGATGCATCATGCTTGTGAAAAGTGTGGTAATATTTTGGGTGGTTTCAACTGAGTAGCTTGTAAAAATTTTGGTTTAAAGTCCAATTTTATTGGTACAGTTTATAAGAAGGAATTTTTCCTTTCATTTGCTATGCATCCAGACTTTGGAAAGTTGTTTCAGAGAAGCAAATCAACTCTCATGTCCTGTAGCTACAAAAGCTTTAGTTATAAAGCTTACTTCAAGGTACTTTGTAAAATTTGGAAGATGTTCTCCATTTGATTTTCATTTTTTAAATAACAAAGATACGCTAGGAAAATATCCATACTACTTAATCAAAAACGATAACGAAATCTTAATTTCAGTTCATCTTCATCCTGCTAAGAATTATTTAAGAGATACAACAAAATGCTACAAATCTACTGAAAGTGGCGGCAGCAAAACCAAAAATCGTATCAATACTTTGATACTTCGGTGAGTATACTGGCACTCAGCAGGGAGAAAGTTCCTGCTCTTGCCAGTCTGTGATTGAGTCTCGAATTTTGTCTGACTCGTATTGAAATCCGCAGATAGATTTCTCCAGATGAGACAAATATCAGGAAAGAAAAATGCAGATGCGCTTTGCATCTGGGTTGAACACGTGGGTGTGCACTGAATATGCACTATGACCCCTTAAAATGTTCACAAAATTAAGGTCCATGTGTAGGAATTTAGAAGGAGTCACTCCGAATGAATAAAGCGGTGATGAAAAGTTTTCTTTAAATTGAGCGTTCGCATTTGGTGTTCGGCGCTAGGTTATACTGATATAGTAAAGGAAGTGGGCAGCAAAAAAATCGTATCGGTTTGGCTCATGTCATATTTAAAGATGTTTCTGAAGCGAAAAACAAGCTTTTTGAAATTCCTGTTGAATGTACTGTATTCCAACCGAAATTTGACATCTTAGAATGGATTCACGAAAATTCCGCCCACATTTCCATTTACAGTGATTCACTTTATCATTATTTGCATTGAAATATGTTCTCACAACACAAATTAGTCTTTAAAAATCAAATGCTTTGAAAATGTTGAAGAACAAAGAATAATATAGTCTTTATTTCTTAGCGTCATCCTAAAATTTTTGACAATAAGAGCGGATTGATTGGCAACGATTAATATGACTTTGCCAAAATCTTCAAGTGCCCAAGTTACCGTCAGGCTGTTTAATTATTCAAAAGAGGCATAAACTTTCTCCAAACTGTTCTACAGACTGCAATCTGTCTTAAAAGCTTTTTTCCGTATCTGTTTCTCATAGACTTAAATGTAAACATTTTTATGCAGTTTTATTAGCTTCTAAATTTCTCACTATACGTGAAAACTTCAGTTCAGATTTTAAAAAGTTTGAATTAATTCCAGCCGATTTGTGGCCCTTCAGCTATGGAGATGTGTAAGATGATTTTCTGAAACATTTTCTGCTCATTTTAAAAAAGCAAAAAAAAAAAAAAAAAAAAAAAAAAAAACCTCTTAATACTATTTTTCTTTAAATGTAGTACTGAACGTGAGCTAGAAAATGTTCTAGCTTTCAAATTTCAAAACAGTAAATTGTCGATTGCACAGATATTGTATTGCAGTTTTCTGCTTTGTCATTTCCATTCACATCCCCCAGCCGAAATCAGCATCACCCCGACTCGAAAGAAAAGAGAGAAAGTTTAATAGAATGGAACCTCGATATACGAGCACCTCTATATACGAGAAATTTGAGATACGAGGAAAGTATGAACGGAACATCCGTCTCTAAATACGAGCACTGACTCGAGCAACGAGCCAGGCTGTTGGTATGCGTGGCGCCATTTGCCGATCCGGCTCGACTCGTAGAATCCTCTCGTCAGACTCAGTGTTCTTTCATCTACGTGTCTGTATGTTTGTGAGTTAATTGTTTTTTACATTTAACGTGAAAGTAATTTTTTCCCGATGCCTCCCTAGAAGATTGCTGTCTCAGATAGTGCTGCAAAGAAAACGAAGGAAGCCATGGCCGTTGAAATTAAGAAAGAAATCATAGATAAACATACACATGGTGTAAGAGTGACGGAACTGGCTTACGGCCGTTCGACATTGACGATCTGCACTATTCTGAAGAAGGAAGAAATTAAAAAAACTTTATGTGGCCAAAGGAGTTACCGTTACTTCCAAGCATCCTCCAAAACTCCTGGAAGATATTGAGAAGCTATTGTTGGTGTGCATTAACTAGAAGCATTTAAAATGCGATTCGTTGTCGGGAGCTTTATGATAAAAATGTCGTATGTCGGACCTTTATGATAAAGGTAAACTACGGTTATATTATTTACCAGTGTTATTTATTAGAAAAATTGATTTTTATGTTCATATTTATGGGGGTGCGGAACAGATTAACTGGATTTCCATTATTTTCAAAGGGGAAGTTTGTTTCTACGAGTAGATACGAGAAATTCGCTATACGAGCTCAATGCTGGAACGCATTAAATTCGAATCTCGAGGTTCTACTGTATATAGAACATGCACATGGAGACTGAATTTGCAAGGGCCCAGCTAGTTTATTTTACTTAAACAAGGAACACTGTTTCATGTTTAGTATTATTTGTAACAGAACTAGTAAATTCAGAAAACTGAATTGGTTTAATTTGTAACATTGCTAAATTATGTGTAACGGTACAATGTTTGATGAGCGAGTTTATTTTTTAAATTCGTAATATGAATGAATAATAAAATATCGGATAAAAATAAGATTTTTAATGCTTAGCATGATATAGGACCCAAAACATAAACATATCTATAAAGTATATTATTCATAAATTTTTTTATATGTGAAAATGCCATTTAAAAATGATTATTTGTCATTTAGTATAAAGTTTATTATAGGGGTGGTTCTTCGAAAACTGAGAAACAAATTATGTTTCAAAACAGTTTTGTTTATCGCAATCATCAGTAGTGAATTATGCTGTAGTAGATATGTAATCTGAGAAAAGAATAGCAATAAAGTTTTTCTGTAAAGCGGGAAAAATAGGAACGGAGGAATACTTCGTAAAGAATACAGGAACCAATCATTAACACGATCTAATATTTTCCATGGCTTCGGATGACTTCGTGACGAGTGTCAAACTGTTGACGGTGAAATCAAGAATGATTATACTTTGCTGTCTTTAACGCATGAGAACATTGGAAAAAAATTATAATTAATGCTTAAACATTGTTACTTGTGTTATCGAATAAAAGCTGAAGAGGTTAACATTAGTAAAGACACTGCTCATATAACTGTTGCAGAAAACATTGAGAAAGAAAAATTGTTCTCATTTTGTTCCTCATGTATTGATTACAGAAAAAAAAAAAAAAAAAAAAAAAAAAAGACCGAATTTTATTGGTTATAATTATATTATGATTTAATACAAATAATATCGATTAATTTTGATTTTTTCTTCAACCAAACTGTGACTAGAGATGAAATGATGCTTTAGTTATGATCCTGAGCCAAACGACAATCATCTGCTTGAGTTGGAGGTAGGTGGCTCACGGCAGCCACAAAAATTTTGATTTTAGAAATATCGAATACATATCATGTCGACGACCTTAGCTTAGTAAGAAAAGGATAACTCACAAGAAATTTGTTCCTGAGAAACAGTGGCCATAATGATATAGATTTATGAAGATATAAGGTCGGTTGGTTTGGAAAGAGAGTCGGTTTGAACGTCTAGCAAGCACCAGACAACTGAAGATATAACGTATTTTTCTCCCTTTTTCCAGCATGCCTTCGTGGTGTAACGGTAGCATACTTGGCACGTATTCGAGAGTCCAGGTTCGAATCCCAGCGAAAGAATTTCGCATTTTTCACGCCTCCTGTTCCTAAAAAAATCTAATAATTCTACAGTGGCCCCGGAATAAGAGGTGGTGGACAATAATTCGTCATAACCAGGATTTGGCGAATGGGTCCTCTAATCACCAGTTGGGCTTTAAAAAGGAAGAGTATATAAGATACTTTCTCCCTTCTTCCGGCATGCCTTGGTGGTGTAACGGTTAGCACACTCGGTGCGTATTCGAGAGTTCCAAGTTCGAGTCCAGGCGAGGCATTGCAAATTTTTTTATGCCTTTTGCTTCACATTACATAATGATTCTACAAAAAGGATTAAGCTCAAGAAAAAAAAAAAAATGAATCGAATGACCGGATTGTGTTGTATAACAATGTGCTATCTCATAATTCTTCTCTTCAAGTAGTTTAGTTTCTAGCACAGAAAACTCACAATTTTCAACCTCCTTGATTCAGACTACTTTAAACAAAAAATTCTCACCTCAGACATAATTATTTTAACAGCATTGGTTCATAACATCGAAACCACACACTAGCATTGCATAGCATGTATATACCACACACTTGTGTATTCAAGGTTAAAAAGTAAAAATATTGTTTTCTTGTTTCAATTTCTTACGAATTCAGACCAAGAGTTTTGTAAACGCACTAGGTATACCATGTTAAAAAGTTGTTTCGAGCTAAGTAATATTTTTCCGTTATGTAAAATCTTTTTTCATAAATTAAAATTTATAAGCTAAAAATTTTAAAGGAAAATGTATGTTTCACAGTAAGATAAAAAATAAAGAACAGAAAGAATCAAAACAGTTCTTAAATGCGTATAGTGCTTTATTTTCTTTCTCATCACATTCTTAAAAATTACTCACATAATGACTTTAAGACGCGTAATGAAATTGGCAAAATTTATTGCAAAATATCAAGCTTTGAATTTCACAGTCACTAAACGTCAAAAAAATGTGGAATACGACTAATATAGCACCGGGAAAGTAAAACTTATCTGCTTCTGCTTCTATCTTCCTGAATTCAATTTTTAAACAAAAATGCTACATCTCGCAGAGAAATATTTTTCAATTGTAATCTTTTAATTTCTAAAACATATTATTATAAGATAAATCCCTTTCTCAAAATTTTCTCTGAAAAATGAAATTTTATAAAACTTCAGATTGGAAAACAATTTTAGTAACATAATCCAAAATAACTGGTACTTAAAACAAAAAGTATTAATTAATAAATTATTATTATTTTATTGCTCAAACGAATGAATCCAAAGTGTCATAATGTGTCAAATAAAGATGGCTGCCTTTATCACGTTTTATATTTCTGTTTCCGGAAAGAATTAGCTCTTTATTCGCAAAATGCGGATAGAGAAATGCTATAATAATAATAAAGAATTTTAATACTACGGACTGTATTTAATGATATTCACATTTGTATTATAATCTTTACATTTTAGTTGCAAATATAACAAGCTAAATATATCATCGCATGAGCACTTAATAAAATAATTCATTGCTTTTTTTTTCTGTTTAAACATGAAACAATTTCTTTCTATGTTTCATTAGAAATGGCAACAGATATCACAATTATGTCAGATCCTTCTCTAATATTCGCTATATAAGAAAGAGATTGCTTTTTTTCTTTTCTGAATTTAACTGTTGTGAATCAAGAAAAATTAGAAATAAATTGTAAACATGAACTTAGGGTGAAATACATAGAATAAAAACAGAACAAATAGTTAAATGATGAAATATATACATAACTTTTGTATATACTAATTTGTACGGGTTTTAATAGTTTTTTATTGTTTTTACAAAACTGTGAAAGTGTTGGGGAATGTTTCTTCTAAAGTGAAGATCTCGTTTTACTAGTTTAAGTCTGTTCTTAAGAAGTACCTTAAGTTAAGAATTTCTTACTGATTTTTATTATGACTCAAGCAGACTGATATCGCTCTAATTAAGTTTTGTTCATAGCTTATGATTTAACTCTCGCAAAATCACTAATTTGATCCTTACTTGGAAAAAAGACGAAGCACTTTCACTTAATTTGGCTATTATTAATTGATAGTGGATTGGTTTGTTCCCCTTGACCAGTCAATAAATCTACGGTCAATGACAATGTCTACTATTTCAGTACTTTAAATTTACATTGTAGAAATTTTTATGGTTCAAAATATTATTATTATTATTATTTTTAATTTGCTTCAGTAAAACCTAAATAACTTATACATTTACTTCAAAATACCAACTAACAACTTATTCCAATAATTAATCGCTTTAATTAAATTTATGTTCCTTGGAGAGGATATATGAAAAACCTTTTCTAACAATAAATTATACATACATATATATATATATATATATATATATATATAATGAGCTTGGACTATCGAAATTTAGGTCACAGTAAATGAACTATATTTTGAAAATTATATGATGTATATTTACTTACAATTTAATTAATCTGTTAAAGCAACACAGGGTATACAAACTATATTATTTAAGTAGCTAGGGTAAAAAAGAGCATTTAAATAATTAGGCGCAAAATTTTCGTTTTTTAAAGTTACTAGAACTGAAAATTAATAGTGTTATCTTTTGCCATTTCTTTCATGCAAAATAAAATGGGATTTAAACAAAATAGAATTACAATTGCATTTCAAAGGCACAATATGTCACATTTCTGCTATCTAAACATTCTTTGACGACTTCATATTTTATTTATTTACATTGCATATATAGCACAAGCTTTCTTTTCAAACAAACAATGACTTAATGTAAGGAAGTGCATGAAAAATCGGTCCATTCCAACTGCATAGATTTGGAATGAGCAAAATAATAATAATAATAAAAAAAAAAAAAAAAAAAAAAAAAAAGATCGATGCAATGAGAGGTTGAACTATGGGACATCAGTTTAGAAGCAAATGAGCGCTTATTCAATCCACTAGTAAACTGAATGTATTTTCAACATATTATAGTAAAGATTATCTCTAGTCGAATTTAAATAATCTGTTTAGCAAATTGACAAGAAATTAATATGTTAGGAGTTTTTTTCTATATATATGATTCTTCTGAATTTGGCAAAATTTCGAGTAAATTCTCTGAATGAGTAATAAAGATACACTCCTTTCCCCCGTCAAAAAATCCTTAATATTGAGTTTGAAAAGAATAAAAGATGCATCACCCTTACATTTCAGTTGGCGCTATATACATGTGCTTGAGAGTAAAATGTACGTACATAGTGACCAGAACTTTTTTGTAATGAAGAAAAAACTCTTCTTTACCATCTTCGTTGAATTTGTAAGCATATAAATATAATATTTCTGTTTATATGTAAAATAAATTTATTTATATGTAAAATAAAAATTAATGTTATATAATTATTAATGCGTAAAGGTAAAGTATACGCAAGGTAAGAAACGTAAAGGTAAAAATTAATGTAATATAATTATTTATTTACTTCCCATATCAACTTCAACTATTTTGAGATGTATAGAAATAATATATTATGTTAAATAATATATCACAACTAATTAATTTAATTTGTAAAACTGTGAAATTTGGTTATAAGTAATTTCATATTTTTTTAACCGTTTCCAAGCAGATTGAAATGACGTCCGTTCTAGTAATGATGCCATAAAATGTCTATGGATATATGTGATGATTTTCATAATTACATGATCATCAAAACATAATTCCATGAGCATTAAAATAAAAATTTTAAATATGCTTTTGCCATGAACTTCTCTTCGTGTTTGGTTGGGCTTTATATTAATTGCTAAACCCTCACACATACCTATAAGCACTGTTTTTCATAAAAAAGTTCTATATCATTTGTCATATTTTTAAATTTCATCGTGTATTATTACATCAGGAAATATTTAAAGGCTTTTTCGATTAACTTAAAGAGATTGACTTGTTGGAAATTTTCTCAGGTAATTATTCAAAAAGAAGTGAAATTAAATATGACTTCTTTCATATTCAGACAAAAAACATTTTTGGTGTGTCACTAATATGAATTTCTTTTCAGTTTATTGATATGCTCAAAGAAAGTTTTGTTTACGTATTTCAAACAAGCTAAAAATAATTCGTAAAAGTTAAATAATAACCCAGTCTAGATATCGCGCATCGTTAATAAATATTCAGAAAATAAGTATGCATAAACATTATATAAAAAATTACTGACATTTTCTTTATATTTCAGTACTAAATTTTGTCTATTGTGTTTGAGGATGTGATAAAATAATCTTTTGTACAGATGAATAACTTCAAAATATTGTGCATTTGCAGTTTATTAAATAATTATAAGTGGCAAAGTTCATTTTGCGTTGAGTTTTTTGTACTTTCATAGTATCATGGAGCTTTTGTACATGAAAGAAATGAACTTTACCCCATATTAATATATGCACATATGATATACAATGAATTTAGCTCTATTAAAATAAAGATTGCTAGTAGCGAGTGAAATTGTATTTTGAACATTAAATATGAGAACTTCTCCAGCAAGGCAATCTCTTCAATGAATCTTTAGCATTACGTAAGATTATATAGATGATTCCATCTGATTTAGAGGATTTTCATCCATTATGGATCGTCGACCTGTACAAGAAACGCAGATTCAAGTTCATTTATGGTTATCACTCTAAGAATGAGGTTGGCAAAACCACGAATTCCCATTCGTAGTATGCAAAGCAGTCTTGGATCCTCCTGGAGGAGGATGATATAGATGAAAGCTACTCGGGTGATGATACAAAGACTGATGCTGGTCTGGAGATAAAGTCTGCTGCCCATGGTGATGTCCGTAAGGTACACCAGGATGGTCTAAATTACTTGGGTGCACAAATAGTTGATGTGGTTTTAGGGGTAAATGTTGGAGGGAATTAGGATCTGTTGCAGTCATATAGTGCCTCATATGAGGCATTGCTGCTGCTGCAGCGACAGCAGCCGCTTCGTTGAAATTGTCCCTAGGTGATACAGAACTTGGCGGCGTCATGGCATTACAGTTGTCCAAATAAGATGCTCCTGTCTGGCTATACGGTGACGATGATTCTGATAATTTAGCAGCAGACTGTAACATGAGATCACCATAAGGTGGATCGGAGCCTTGTCCACCTGGAGGAGTGGGTAGAGTTCCTTGGATGGCATCACCATAGCAACCATGGCGAGTCGCATGTGCCCCAGCTGATCGGATAACAGATTCTCTGCTGACATATATCTGGCGTAAGAGCGTGGTAGCCGGTAGTGAAGCTGGAGCTGGATGTCCGGCTATCCACTGTATAGGACGCTGCGTGGGTGATCCAGCGGTCGGAGGGAATGACTTTAACATGAGTACATCCGGTGAACTTCCGCCTGGCGATCCATTGTGTTGAGGCAGATGCCGATTCATAACGTCCTCTAAATCTTTCACTGACATAGTAGAGGATGTTTTCATACAGTTGGGATCATATGCACTTGGAGCAGCGGGGGACCGCGTCCATGGCCTAGTAACTTTATCACTTTTATCCGGCGAACTGCTGGAGGCTCCTCTTCCCCTACTGCCGGAAGAACTGACACCAGTTTGGTTGCAAGACATATCGTCGACAACCAGATCATTGCTGCTCACATCGTTGTAACCGGTACCATTGTCCATTGACAGAACTTCGAGACTAGCTGATGATGAACTTCCTGGACGAGGACTTTTGATGGTATCATTGGTTTCGGATGAACCTGGCAAATTTTCTGTTGGCTTCCTTTTCCTTTGACGCCCACCTTGATGCTGTCGATCATCCATGGAATCGTTGGTAGTTTCTCGTTCTGAAGTTGGCGGTCCAAAATAAACAACACCAGGGAACTCTCTCGTTTTTGGAGAGGAGTTACATGACTTTTCCTGTAAAATATAAAAACAATATTTAAATTTCATTCTCAAAATATTCTACATTAAAAAAATGCAGCATGAGTTTGAAGCACATGTTATAATAATTTGATATGATATACTATATATGTAAAGGCCTAAAGTAATCTTTTAAGATATATATTACGGTTGTAATGGTTGTCTAAGAGTTTCTATTACTAAACACTGTTATTTAGCTTGCTTTATGAAGTTGTCAACTATTAAATCATAGAATTAAAAATTAGTTCACTTAAGATGAAACTTTCAGTGTACACAGAAACCTGGTGATAATACGCTTTTCTTAGTATATTTTTAAAACTAGAGGTCGTCTTGAAACCTGCAGTTTTTACAGCATTGTCATTTTAAGTTTTTCACGCTGAAATCGAATAGTATGCAATTTTTGCTAACTGATAGAGTATACAATCTATCGCTTTTGTTTATTTATTAAAGGGTACTCTTAAAACGCTGTTTTTAAATATGAAAATAAATACAAGTAATTAAGAATATAAAAATGATAATGATTCCATTAATTAATTTAAAAAAGATTTTAAATTTTTAATTCCATTACATTAAAATTGCTTCCAGTGTTACAAAGCAAAAACACGAGTTATTCTTAAAAGAGCCATTTTTGCGAGTCCATCAGCTGTATACAGTACAAATATCACACAACACTGCCAAAACGTAATCACCACTTTCCTTAATGGATTTTCATCATGTTCATACGAGATAATGCGTTAGGATTTATGGTGTGTCCGCATGTTGTGTAGAGTTTTAGCTTCACAATTCTCAGCCTAATTCACTTGTTTGAGTATTAGTACAGACTGAGACTTCGTGATTTATAAAAGCGATAAAACACATAGCACATCAACACTCTGAAATCTTACCTGCTGCAACTGTGCAGTGATTTATGATTTTTGTATATGAAACCATATTTCGTATAGTCTTTCGAGAATTAAAAAATTGATGGTCATCTTGAATATGCTATAATAAAATTTATAGCTTTTCAGTGTTTCAGGAGCTTAGTGGTAGTTTAATTTATTGTATACGAATACTACCTTAAGAACTTTGCATAATTTTGAAAATTTGGCGGCTCTTTTGAGTTGTCATGTTTAAATAAAGCATTAAATAGCACACACAAATTTTGCATTACTACCAGTTTTATGAAATAAAGTATTTACACTAGAAATTACAACACATTGCAAGAGAAGGCTTGGAAAAGCAAATTAATATTACTGGAAAAATTAAAAGCGTTGCTTCAAAATCCAAAAAATTCGGATTATGAATCTTCTTCAGAGAATTTGTCTCCAAATTCAATTAAGAGAAGGAATCTAAGAGGCGATGACATTTATGGCTTGAAGAATTATCAGGAAATAAGAGCTGCTATAAATTAATTCACCATTAATGTCACTTTCAACAATATTAATCTACTATATAATAAGTTAGCGTAAGTTTGCAATAACAATAATTACCTGTAAGTGGTATTTTCATTATTTTTTTTTAATCTGCTCGGTTCAGTTCCGTAAGGAAATAAGTTATTAATCATCACAACATAAGGTAGAAAATTATACTTCTTGCCAGAATTGTATAAGTGATTTAAATAAAAAATAAATTAAGCATAGAAACTAACAAGAAACAACGAAAGGTCTCTTAAATTATACCTTCTTTGTAAATATTTAATCGCAACATTCTAACATGTTTGTACGTAGTATTATTTCCAAGTTATCAAAATAATAGCAGTATAATTTGAAATTAATTACGTGTAGAAGTTCCAGTCGACTAATTTCACTAATTTATATGCTTCTTGAACAGAGTTGGCATTAAGTTTTTTGCTCTTTACAGAATCATTTTTAAAGTTCCTTCTCACACAAACATCAATAATTTAAATAACGTAACAGCGGAAAAGAGACATAGTTTTTTTTTGGAACGTACAGAAATTTCTTCTAGAATTCATCCATTAATTTTAAGATTTTTATTCCTTGTTTTTTTAAATATCGAAAAAATCACAACCAAAATCACACGAAATTGCCTAAACCACTGAAAACTCCTAACATTTTTATCATTTTTCCTTTAAAAGTAAAAGTTTTAATTTTAGAATTCATTATTGCCTATATTAAATGCACTGTTCATGTATATGTACTAGGTAATTGATATTGTTTAAACGCTTTTATAACATGTATTGGTACTTTTCCATTTTGCCGGCGCAAGCGATAAAGTCGCCAAAAATGGTACAACTGATACCAAATGAAATATATACTCTCTGGTAATCTTTTACGCCTCATTTTCAAAACAAGTCGAAGCCCACCAGCGGCCGAGCGGTAAAGTCGCTGAACACTGGTAGTTCGGTTCGAGGTTCGAATCCCGCGAACGGGCTGGCTGCATGGGCGTTTTTGTGGTTTTCCCTATGTGTAACATGTATACGAGCCAGTTTTCCTTAGAAAGTCCTCCACGAAGGCATCCCTCCTCTTAGGCAGATAGCCCTCGAGGCTTTGCCATAACACGCACACAAAACAAGTCGCAGCCATTTCTTATCAGATTGATTGTTTCTTTCAATACTGGCATACAATTACATAGAATTTTTACCAGATAGTTCAATTTTATACCCTAAGGCCATTCGCGGTAATTAAGTCAATTAGAATGCAATCACACTGCTCACCCGAAGGCGAAAATATAGAAAAGGCAAAGTCAAGGGTTAAATTTATCCATTCTAATGAAAATGCACTACGAAGTAAAGCACTGCGGTTTTACATAATTTCTGAGTAAGCTATTTGTACGAATTGAAATAATTCTTGCATTTAAACTTGTATTCCATATTAAGATTTAACTTAAAATTTATGTAGATAATTAACTGAGAGAATTAGATTTTTGTAGCGTAGTTTACGTAAGATGAGATCACTTGGGGTCACGTGATAAGAAACTGCGAATCAGGATGTTGTACCATGAAAGCATAGTAAATTCTTAAATTAATATCTTTTTACAAAATTTTAAGCGATATTAACATGTTCATGCCATCAAAATATAAATTTCTTAGTACTAACATTTGTTAAAATTTTTTATGTGTATACTGTGTGTTGCCGCCAATCAAGTCTGCTTGGCGAGATTTGCGCCGGCGAAACGGAAAAGTACCCATGTATTTAATAAAAGACTTGGACCTTATGCTAATACAATGCATGAAAAATAGAGAATGTTATAGAAATATAAAATTCAACCCATATTATTCAGTAACTCCTTCCACTGAGCGCCTAGTACATTTCATGAAGGTATTTTTTTTTCTAGAAACATAGATTACAAATCACTTATGAATATTTATTCACTAATAGATGCAGGTCTACATTAAGAGGTTGCTCTTACTAAACATGAACCAGAGATTTTGCTTTACGCTACTGCTATATGGGCACCTTGCAAAGCAAGAGTCAAAGTATGGCAAGTCACAGAAATCAACTGAAACTTCTGTAGAATAAGATTTTCTAACTTCCCACTCGCTCTGCAGGATTCCTCAGCAATTTCATAATTCACAATGATTTAAAAATTACTTTGATGAATAATAACCTTTTGAATTTCATTTCAAGATTTTATAGTTGTGAAATTTATCATTTTGATATCACTTACGGCATCAAAAGATACTACCCGAAGGCCATAAATACTATACAAGCGATTAAGGAACTTAAGAACACCTTTTCTTATAACATACGATACAAATTTCGTACCCTGTCGGTAGTGCTTTTCCAGAGTAGAAAATAATTCGACTTAAAGAGAAAAAAAGTAATGATCATATGCTGCGGTACTACAAAAGCTTTCTAATTTCTTTCTTCCTTAAACAGTGAAGATATGATTTATTTCTTTTCTTTTTTACATAGTTCCCAAACCCTTTTAAATAGTAAAGATTTTTTTTTTTTTTAATTACCTCAAAGTACTTCGTATTCAGGTTATATAAAGAAATTATTTTCTTCAAGGTACTTGACTGAGGCTGCTATGAAAGCTCTTGCAGGCTCTAAGCTGATATTCATATATATCAGCTTAGTATCCAGGAAACCAAGAAGTTATCTTTTTACTCCAAAGGGGCGTTAGCCTAGAAGGGTTATTAGTCTCTAAATTGCGTCGAATCACTAAAAGCGTTGAATCACTTTTCAAATTGTTGCCCCAAATATTATTAATGTCTTTTATATTTGAAGAAATTCATCGAATTTTGAATAACGTAGTCCTCCACCAGAATACGGGCACCTGGAAGCCCGGAATTTTGAATTTCAAATTAATTTTATTATTTATTTCATATTTTGTAAAACTTTAACGAATTTCTAATTAAAAAAACTCAGTGATTTCAAAGCCAGCCGTGGCAACACTGTACAGATTAAAACATTTTCATCTCCAGTGCGCGAGACTGTCTGTCGGGAATTCTAAAGATCTATGCTGTTTTTAAATCTTTTTAGCCCAAATGCTCTGGAAACGTGTATGTGTGTGTAAATGAAAAAAAAAAAAAATAAATAAAAAAAAAAAAAAAAAAAAAAAAAAAAAAAAAAAAAAACGTCTCCTTGGGCGTAATATAAAATCTGAAAGCTTTCAGCTTTTTTTAAAAATCAGACCTTGTGTTATTTTTTATCCGTTAAGAATTCAAAATGCAAAAACTTTGTTTTATTTCTACCCCTTGCTTTGCCTTCGTAAAACGCTTTAAACTATTATTTTTTAATTTTAATTTTTAATTTTTTTTATTTATTTACTTTTACCATCAATCCACCCTTATGGTGCACTTCTTGCGAAGCAAGAACAATTTATGCTGAAGTTTTAGTGACTAATCTAAGTTATCTAAGCATCCAGGTATAAAACTATTTTTTTTATTTGAAAATATTTCTTTTCTTTAAATTAATTATTAAATTATATAATTCTATGCACCATAAACGATTTTTTTGTTCTCTAAGCTATGCAGCATTACTTTCTTTCCCAATTTTGATTAGACCTTGATTATATTGCCCTGGCTTCTAAGGTCCGAAGGTTATAGTCCCAGATTATAAAGGGGCTAAAATTTTTCCTGTTCTTTTTTCATAACCTTGTTTTCTCATTATAAAAGCTAGTAAATGAGTTGAAGAATATAACCTTACTTTGAATGGCTTCAGAGTAACCTTATGCCTAGAATGCCATGCTGCTTAACTGTGCTCTGATTCTGATATTAAAATTCAAGTGAGATGCACATTTTAAAAGAAATTGTTAAGCAAGCTTACAATCTATTCCTTTGTAAAGGTACGAGCTATATGAAAGGCCATAGAAATTTCTTTACACAGCAATGCATGTAATGAGTTATAACATGTTTCTTACCGATCCGCGATGTGAACGGTCTCGTTTATTAGCATCGACGTCCAGATCTGTGACTCTGTCGTACGTCTGGCCTTCGTCGGTACGCTCGCTGGTGTTATCCGGCCGAGGGGTGGGCCTCTGCTCAATATCAACGTCCCCGGATGCAGAGTTGTCTATAAATGAAGAGGTAAAATAATTTGTGAAGTATCATCTCTACTAAAAACTGGTTAAATCCTAGACACGACGCCTTTTTCACGGTTTTTGGATTTCGATAAAAAACTCACCAAACTTAATGATAGATACACGACGATATCCGTCATTAAATTTGTTTGATCTATGCATAAAATGCTTCTTGTTAGAAATTGACATGTTTTAGATTTTTTAGCCATAAAAAGAGTTTATTGCAAACAAACAATATTTATTTATTATTATTTGCAAACAAACAATGAAAACATCATTGTATGTTTTTCTTCCTTACTGATATTGTCAAAGAAATTAATTAAATGTGGAATTAGAGGGGAGGGAAGAGTAAAAAATAAGCGAAAATTACAACTTATTTTTTAGAAATTGATGGAAGATTTCAAACTACATTTCCTAAATGGCATTAAGTTTTTTGAAAAAAATCACATTCTAAGCTGAAGCACCAGACGCCACCTATGTCTAGGATTTTAAATATTTAAACAGTTAACACATAAAAACGCAAACATATACATTAGTGCCAGAAATATTTAATATGTTGTTATGAAGTGTGATCTTAAGATCTATTTACGTTGTATACTTCCCTATACTGTAAATAAATGTAAAATATGTGAAAATTTCTAAGTTCGTGTTTGGTTTTTAACTCAAGATGTTACGTTTTAAAACGAGGCAATTCGGAGTATTTTACTGAAAACTTTAATGTAGCCAAAATGCATATTGTTATGAATTTTGTACTTAGATGTTAAATTTTAGTAGAACCGTAAACAAAATTTTTGTATTTTTCTGTGGAATGTGGCGCGAGAAAAATTTTAAGAGAAAGCTATACCGGAAAAGTAAAAATACAGGGGCACGTGCATTTCACATTGAGTAAATGGGTATCTTGGTAATTTGTATTGAAACTGAATAAATATAATTGACCACTATGTTAGCTGTAACCGTAATTCCACCCCCGTATTGCTTTCGAGTAATTTAGAGAAGGAAAAATTACTATAAATATCTCGCGGCCGGTTGAAAACTATTTAAGGCCGAAGAGAGAACATCTACTCATAACTGTTTAGTTAGCTGGGCTGTTGCTATTGTTACGAGTTCAGCGTGATATTGGATTAGCTTTCTCTTTAGATGCGCTTTATATTGCATTGTGTTTAACGTTCTTAGTAGTTTGTCGTGAAGCTAATGACTATACTGTGTGATACTGTGAACACTTGTAGCAATATTTCTGTAGAAAATTTCAGAGTTCTGAAACATTTTTTTAATAAAAATAAATTTTTATTAACTTATTATCAGACTTGTGCATTCAATCTATTACGAACCCGTACGCATGCAACATTATGTTTTCAGAAATAACCTCGCTATTTGGATATGTATAATTTCTAACAAATTATAAAAATCCTTCCTCATAAAGACGCTTTATGTTGCTGTTGAAAGTACTGACATTTTAAATTAATGTATTTAAATTAAATCACTAAATGAAACTTTTTCGAGATTGCTACAATCCAGCGAAAATATTGTGAAAGAACATTTGATGTGTTTTCAGAAATGTTTTCAGAAAATAAAAATTTTATGAGATACATTCCGCTGACCTCATAGATCATGTGACTTATGTATACCTTTCGTAAACAAACAATGCAGGTGACCTCAGAGATCACGTGACTTATGTACAGCTAATGCAAATGCAAACAGGCAAGGTCATTCTTCCTCTTCTTCTCTTGCGGAATGTATCTCATTTATATATCTGACATCGTTCAGAATTACATTAGGTTAATATCTTTGAGTCTTTTAGTGCTTTAGTTAAATTGTTTTAAAAGCAGCATTATTAGTTGCATTTTATGATACTCTATTAATCTATAAAATTTTCTTAAAAAGGAAAGTAGTTGTGGAAGAAGTTTTATTCATTAATAGCCAAAATGAAGAAAATAATGGAATTATTCCCTTGCCTTTCTGTTTTCTTCAGACAGACAAATTAAATTGCTGTTCCGAAACTTCTAAGATTTAAGATAGCTACAAATGTGTATAGCTACAAATAGCTACACATAAAATAATGTGGTCTTTTATATTCTAAGTTCTTTTTTTCATATACTGATCCAATAGATGCATAAATTCCTTTTCCTTCTATAATGCTATATCGCATTTGTTACGGAAAATTACTTTGCCAACGTACAGGAAAACAGATCTAAAAAAAAAAAAAAAAAAAAAAAAAAAAAAAAAAAAAAAACCAGCTAGTTTATCTTTTCTCGTTTACTTCAAACATCATCTCGAGAGATTCTGCAGACGTCTAAAAGAGTAGTAGATAAATTTATAATTGCTAATAATTAAGGCGTCGGTCATAATGCTAAGAATTTAATGAAAATGATTTTTCATCACTCATATTCAATTTTTCTTACTCATAAAACAAATATTCGTAAATGAGTAACTCGAAGAATAATCGCAGCCTCGAACGATATTAAAAAATAATATCAGAAAGTTATTAAGAAACGCTAATATGCGGTTAATATGAAGTTTTTATTAACCATAAATGCCGAAGAAAAGTGCACCACATAAGACTCAAATCTGATTATATTTTGTACTTTGAGTTTATAACAAAATGCAGATTCATCTAGGCTCTAGCGTAAGGACGTGACTTAATGTCCACTTATGTCATTAATGTTGAGTAATTAACAGATTTAAAATCCATTTCTTGATGTTTATGTTCAAGTATAACCTACTTCCATTGAGACAATGAGATTGCCTCCGATAGGGTTAGGAATGCTGACAGCTGAAGTTATAGTGATTATCGAATAACGTTCTTACCGTCGTCCTTTTGAGCCAGCCTGGCCCTGAAGCCACGAAAATCTCGTAATTTATTCAGCTGTAGTTAACGAATTCCGTTACATAGTGTTTTCAAGTTTCCTGCTGTTTTAAATACAAATATTAAAAAAAAAATCTTTTAAAAAGTCTCTCACGAAAGGGTGTCTTCTTTATCCAGATATCTCGAGAGTGCTGATCATACTTAATCAACCAAATCATTCATTATTAACAGCAGAATGCCTACAGCCTGGGGATACTACGACGTAAACATTTAAACCAGCAAACTCAAAAAAAAAAAAAAAAAAAAAAAAAGCAACACTTCTTTAGTCGGTTTTAAGGAAGCTCACGAAAAGTGGAATGATTGATTGTTGCCATATTACAAAGTTCAGTATTTTTGTGAACATTTAACTAAATCAGTTGGTTTTTTTAGCAGGAATTCACATCTGTGCGCATTGCTTTTAGCACAGAAGATCGAATATTTCACACATTATTTTAAAGAGTATCCTTTACTATTCGGTAAACACATTAGTAGTTTTTTTAATTTTTATTAGGCAGTAAGATAGCAATATGCATATGGGATTTTAGAAGAAGTTTATGCTTCTACAGTGTACTCGTACATACAAAAACAAACGATTTTTAAACTTACGTTTTGTTATAGGATTCTGCTTGCACTACAAGTTGAACTTAATGTCCTTCAGAACCTAACAGACTGACAAACGAGTTACCGCTCCAGACTGAATTCAAGCTGAAAGGTCTTATGAAAGTAAAAGTAACCTTTTATTTCAATTTTGAAATTAACAAAAGGCACTACTTGCGCTACAGACAAATTTCCTTCACTTTCGGGTATTTAAAACAACACAAAACTGAAAATTTAAATTCATGTAATGTAGATTGAAACTACACACAGAATAGTTTACTTAATCTGAATCAAGTAATTAACACGGCTCGCTTTTAAAGTTGGCTAGAGAAAAGACTCAAAATTGGAATGAACTTTGGCAGCGTTGGCGACAGGACACGAAGTGAGGATACCAAAAGTTCTAGTTCTAAGAAGTTATAGCAAAGTTTCACATCATAATAACTAGTGCATGAACATAAAATCCTATATTTTGACTATTAATCTATAGAATTGCGTTATCCTACTTTTCAGTTTAACAATAGACGTTATACGTGTCTACTTTCGCAGGTTTTGTCATCATACAATTTTTTTAGACAGAGAAAATGGCGAAAGTTTTTTGTTATATATTAGTAGATACTTTTTAAAAATTTAATTTCATACTTCCGCTACACATGTGTTTGTAATAAAATTTAAGGAAGAATTTTAAATGTCTCTTATACTTGTTAACACAGAGAGAAAAAAGCTTGCAAACTACAGTCTGAGTGCTTAAATTTTCTATTTAGAAGTTACTGCAAAGATAAGTATTATACTAGTTATTTGCTGTAAATCGTTGATTAAAACAGAACTGAAGTATAATTAGCGTGAGAGATTGATGGTTAGTGTAAAAATGTAATAAGCGTAAATCCATGTGTTACGTTAACTGCACTAGCAAGTGTGATTAGAGGAGATTTATGTGTTATGTTAACTGCATTAGGAATTATCGCGACATTGGCACTCCAGACATTACGTACTGGGAGGGCGCAGTACCTCTGCCTCCCTCTTTGTCCGGGCTGGTACCACGTTCTGAACTGCTGGGGTCGTCATTCCTCAGGTCTCGTGAAGATGGCAACTGACTGAAGTCCATAACGCAGTGGGGATACTCAACGTTACTGAAATCATAATGAAAAATAATTTAATTTCACATTGTAATTTATTACTTCTCTCAATATAAACATAAATAATTGGAACATATATAATGAAGGAATAAAAAGTAATCTTTCAGATTTTTAGATCTGTCATGTATTTTTAGATCTGTTATGTTAAACATAGTAATTTCAACACATAATGAAAGAGTAAGAAATAATTTTTCATATTTTTAGATCTGTTGTATATTTTTAGATCTGATATATTAAGCATAAATAGTTGGAACACACAATGAAAGAATAAAAAATAATTATTCAGATTTTCAGATCTGTTACATTCTTCCCTACCCCATACAGCTGAGATAGCTAGAATGACTTTAGTTTAACTGCTTGAGCCCCAGGAATATTTCGCAATAGAGCTACTTTTAATTCATGGCGGAAAAAAACCAAGCGGTATGAAGGCTTTTTGACTTATTTACATCAAGAAAGGCCAGTTTATAATATAATTAATCATCTTTTATGAGATTATTGCATGCATTAATTTATGCACTATGTAAGAAAGAAATTCATCTTATATGCTTTGATAAAAATAAAAGTTATGAAAGTTAATTGATTTTTAATTTAAATAATGCTGTAAGATATTTCTCCCGCTTTCCTAGCGTGCCTTCGTGGTGTAGTGGTTCTGCACGCTGGGCCGGTATTCCAGAGGTCCGTGGTTCGATTCCTGGCGAATCTTTCCTGCTTCCAAAAAATATTCCTTATATCTCTACAATGCTTATTTTTAAAATAAAAAAGTACTTTTAGTTTACAGTACTAGCATTTAAAGTTCATAAATAAATAGCAGTTCTTATGGAATAAAAATATTTGACAATGATGGGAACTTGAAATTATGTTACTTGTAAATGGTTTATTCTAGAAAAAGTAGCAATGCGATCAACAAGAATTAGTAAGTTTAGCAGAATCCAAAGTCCTCAATCGCAAACTGCAGTGAAATATAGTGCATAAAACCAGATATTCGAAAATCCTACGAAAAATCTGAATAGCATGATCACGCTGTGTGAGTCTCAAACGATTAAAAATATTTTATTTAAGAAAGATCCAAACTACAGTATACCATTATCTTATCAATAAAAAATGCTAGGATACTTTGCGGACACAAGGAAGAATTTACTAACATTTTAAGGATTAACTTCTTTTATATCATAATCTGCCCGTTATACTCGTATGAAGTGCATGAAGGGAATTATGCATCAATATTACGTCATATGTTTTCAGTTATTCTACTCACGACCTCATTTATCGCAGTATAATTCTACATCCTATCAGATTTCTAATTCTGGTGCGACGCTGCCCACGTAGGCTAATTAAAATAATACAGGTTCAATCCATTCTACAGCAATAAGTGAAAATTGTAATAAAACAGTCAGAGGAAATTTTGGTTTCCTTATGTTATCTATAAAGCAGCACAGCTCTTTTGCTTTATTTTAGTTTCTGTTCTCGATGGAAAAGACTTTCGAATTTCCAACACAACTAATTGCTTGCTGCAAGAGTCTTAGTTTTTAGCCTGTTTTGGAATTTAATTTTTGATTTTAAATAAAAAAGATAAAAAGTCTTTTTTCTACTTTATATCTTTTTTATTTAAAATCATAATTAATTATTTCTATTATCATAATTTATGAATCATAATTTAATTATTTCTACTTAAATAATATTATACTTATATTAGTACACCTAATTTCAATAATATAGAAGTAAAAAATGTTTCAATAGATAAAATCAAGAATTCCTTTATAAAGTGTACGAAATTTGTGGAAATACTTTGACACTCTGAACAAAGAAAATTCTCGCAGTGAATAATTTTAACGACACATAGAATTAAGTAATGGTATTTTAAAAAACTTAATAATAAGTACAATATTATTCAGAGAATACTTAGAGGATATTTTACTAATGCTATATGGCTTAGTTTCACTATAATAATAAAGAAAATTTTAAAATATCGTGAGATTTCTGAGGAACTAAACCAACTGAGTTTACAAAAGGCGTTTTCTTCACTGATTTGAGGCAGAACTATCAGATACCTTTGATTTATTAACAAGAGAGATGTCTACAAAATGGAAGAAATTGGTTCAATGAAATGAGGTACACTTGTACGCATTTAATCGCAGAGAACCAATAATTTAACGAAATTGAGACGCAGTTGAGTATTCAATTAATCAAGTTAAAGTATTTACCTCAAGACATAATTGACACAGATGATGGTCTCTTCCTCGGCGTTTTTGGTATTACAGATGACCGTGGCACAACTCTGTAACCACGTGTAACCTCCATTTTTGTTCATCAAGCGATAGTAACCGCTCATCACCTGTCCTTTTTGGATTACTGCAATGAAACAGATTAAAAAAGAATATCATTTGTGTTTACTTTGAGAACATAATGTAAACAATTTTAATAACATCTTTTTAATAAATAATTAACGTATAATAAAATAACATAATTTTTTATTATCTTGATCAATGGATATTTTGAATATAACACCAATGGATTTATAAAATATAATTTTACCAGCGCACCAATGGATATATATAGAACATAATTTTTATTTTCTTGACCAATGGGTATAAAAGAACTTGTCTCTTTATAAATCTATAAACGTAATTATTTATATCTTAAACTTAAACTAACTAATTACTTAAATAATAGTAACAAAATTTTCATTAAATTTTTAGATTTTTATAATTAGTTAATTATAAGGTAAAATAATATCAAAAATTTTCTTTAATGAACGTAAAATCCAGAACAACAAATAAACGCTTCCATTGGGAAATATTTTGAAATTCTTCATCGCTTCCATTAGGAAATATTTTGAAATTTAGGAATAGCATCTGGCTTGTGATTAATGAAAATTGTTTTCGCACCAAAAAGGAAATCCATTTTTAGATTCTGACTTAGATTCGACGTTGGCAGAACGTGACGTTAATTAAATGCTAAAATATTCAGTAGTAGAATAAAAATAAGAAACTCACAGTCTATATGGCACTTTCGAAGTTTTTCGATGTCTTGTGCGTAGCACAGCGTATACATGCTGGTTCCTGTAATTTCTTCAGCTGTGTAATCCAGCAATTCAGAAACTCTATTAAATAAAAAATAACAGTAATAAATAATAAAGTGAAGAGTTAGAAAATTATAACTTAAAATGTGCAGTTCGTTACAATATTCTTGAATACTTCACCTATAAAGAAAAATATTTATTTGTCATTTATTATTGTATGGCGTAATATCATACCAGGTAATAATAAAAACAATTCACATTTATGGGTTAGAATATTACCTGAGAAATGCAATGAAAATTTTTGTGTTACTGTATTTGATTAGTTAATTTTTAATTAATTTTTGTTAAATAAAAGATTTGTCAAGCAACTGATAATACCGAAGCAATTTGTGTTTAAAATAAAAAGAAAATTGTTGTCACCGGGTATCTGTTTCTTAGATCTATAACAAAATAAAATACATAGGGATTTGAATAAAATACATAGGGATTTTGAATATATTACTCTAGAATCACAGAAAAGTTGAGCATTTGCTTTGAGTACATATTAAATTCAAGTTTTGAACTTTTCTTTGAATATAGAAATATAAATATAGTTCTTTTGAATATAGAAAATATTATATTATTATTATTTTCATATAGAGAATATTTCATATGAAAAAAAAGTAAAATAAAAGATAATTGTTAAAATAAAAAGGAATAAATAAAAAAAAACTTTGTTTGTCAAATAAGAATCATAAATTTATTTAATGGATTTCAAACTAGACGTACTATTATGAGAAATGTAATATACCAGAAAATCCAATGAATTTAATCTTATTTTGATTTTGGGCTTGAACACTTTCGCTTTTTTATATTTAATCAAATGAAAGCCGAAGTCTTTTGAGGTACCCCATGTATTTTAAAATGCTACAAATCTGATGTTTGCAGTTATATCAAAACATCGGTTTTCTTTAGAGATGGATCCGGCAAGTTAATGCATTACTTGAGTAAATGGGCCATGGAAAACTACGAAATTTTTAACAACACTTTATTTGCAATTCAGCTGATATTTTGATGGCAAAGTTGTAGAATAATACAAAAAATGGCTGAAAAATTATTTCATCTTCCTATTCTTTTATGATAATTATTTAGTGATAGTTGACTATTTCTCGTCATCATCTTTTTGTGACTTGAAAGGACTTTTTCTGTAGACTGTAAAAAGACCTTTTCGTAAATCAAGAACTCAGAAAACATCAGCGTTGCTTGATTAGAATTTAAAACTGTGAAGTAGACTTTTACTACTGATTTTAATGTTTGTTGCAAACAATTCTTAAAGAGGTTGAAATATCTTTATTCATAGAAATTTTTCAATACAATTAAAAAAAAAAAGAAGTTAAATTCCGTAATGATAATATGGCACATCAAGAGCCTAAATATATTAAAAATAATGCTTAGTATTAGTGACTGTCACGTTAATTGCCCTGACGTGATTAATTTGATATGTCATATAAAACAGGATTAATTTATAAATATTTGTACAATGTTAAAAAAATACATTACATCCAAAGGGGCGTTTTTTAACGTTTTGTTTGCTACTTTTATTTATTAAATATTATATTATTCGCACTTATATCATAAAATTCAGTAGCAATATCGGAAAATAATTTTAAAATGAGTATATTTCTAGAATTTCCGATACAGTCTCGCGCGCTGGAGATAAATTTTTTTTTTTTTTTCCCCGTACAATGTTCCATTGCTCGCTTTGAAATCGTTGAGTTTGTTAATCAAGAATTCGTTAAAGTGTTACAAAATACGAAATCGATAATAAAAAAATTCCTAATTCGGGCTTCCAGATGCCCATATTCAGTGAAAGATTATGTTATTCAAAATTGAATAGCTCTAGGTACCGTTGTTTTATCACAATGCGAGAGATGTATATACATTTATGCAGGTTCTTCATTATTTCATTTCTTTAAATATTACACAGGGCTCTAATATTTGGTGACAACAATTTGAAAAGTGAAACAACGCTTATCGTAAACTAACTCAAAATGCAAAACGAAATTAATAGCCGTTCTGGGGGTAACGCCCTTTGGGCTAAAAATTACAAATTTGAGAACTGAGTGTTGAAGAAAGAACATCAAAATGATTTCTTTGTTTGCCTTTATGGTCACCTTTTTGCTGACAATTTCCGGGAAAGAATCTTACGATTTCCATACTTTCCTGCTGATGCTTCACTGAAAATCTTGATTCATCTAAAGTTTTAAAGCATCTGAAATATTTAATCTCTAATTTGGATACAGTCAAAAATATACAAGGCAGTCTAAAACAAGTCTTTTTTAAATCATGTTTAACATGCTGTTTTGAGAAAAACCATAGTTAGTTAGATAGAGATTTGTCAGTAAATATTGTCAGCAAAGATATTATGCAAATGTTCTGAGTATTTACCTCGGTTCGCAGTGGGATATCCGAAAGTCGAATGTGAGTCGCGTAACGAACATATCTGACTCTAGCCTCAGCTCGTTGACGGAAGGAGGGGGTAACGCGATGGCCAGTCCCACGAGACCCATTATCGTTGGAGTTTGCTTTCTGGACGACGCTGAGAAGTTATATTGTGGTCTCAGATGGGAAAGTACTAGAACGACCTACAAGAAAACAAACATCAGAATTTAAAATTTATGATAATTTATAAATATTTAATATAATTTATTTTTAAATTCATATATTTATTTTAATATATTATAAACATTTGATATATTTATAAAATATTACTTTTTTTACATCTAACAATCAAAAAGAAAAAAGAAGTATTACGCTACGTTGTAAGTACAACTTATTAATTTAAAAAAATTAAACAGCAATTTCATCATTGATTACTTTATTGTCACGGTGGGTTGACAGATATTGTGTGATTTAGCACGTGAACGATATATTAAGGAATATTAAAAAAATTATTATAATAATATCATAACTTATATTTAAAATTTCTTCCCTCTGATTATTTTCTCTTGTATAGCATATTTTTTCAAACTAACTATACAATAACTTAAATTTTCACTAACAGATGGCAGCACCTCATTTCTGATGTTAATATCTGCAGTTAAATTTATATTCACATTTCTTTATACAGCGAATACAATTGTAAAAATACCGGTTCATTGAAAGAACATTCTTATATCATATGCAAAGTAAAAGTCGTTGAGAAAAAATAAAATTCCTTAGATGTGCTAGAGATTACATAGTTTAAAAATTGTTTTTGCAGTAACACAGACAATACAATAAAATTCTCATTGATTTAATTTGTTACTATCACCATTTGACAATACTGTCATATAAATTTCCTTGATGTTTTTTCAGTAGTAATTTAATTTCTGATTGCTCCTGTTTTATTAACCATTGACTTGAATGTATTAAAAATATTTAGAGTTCATAATATTAACTGCAATTGGAATATTTCAATTGGGTACTGATCGAGGAATATGAGCCCATTTGCATTTCCGATAATGAATTTTAATTGTTACATTATATGCACAATCTGTAATTCATTTTAAATAACTGATATTGTGTTTACGAATTTCAACCCAAAGTTAATTTTCTCCAAAATTGTACTTCAGCTCTGCTACATAAAATTCCATTTCTCTTCAGAGATGTGCTCTGAGATCTAAAGATTTTGAGATGTAAAGTATGATTTCCTCTTACAAAATAGAAAACTTTGGGGACAAAAAATTAAGTAAAACCTTATAAAAGGTCTTAAAGCAAATTGTTGATAATTCTTATCGCTTCGCAATGATCTACAATACAAATTATCTATTAAAGTATTGTGGCGTAAGTACGTTTTCCTGCTAATAGATGGCAGCACTTCAGTCATTCATGAAGCTGGCTTAGCTTTAAAGTGAGGTTGTTTCTCTAACAATATTACTTTATGGAAAAATTTGCACTTCGATTTTACAGGAAATATATATTTCTATCATTGATGGCATCAGTTTAATTCTTTATAATCAAATGTTTATTTCATTTTATAGCATAATTACGAATTATATTAACAAAGTTGCACTATTATTTGCTTTGTACGTTCCATATTAAAATTCGTAGGACATAATTTAACTTGAAGAGGAAAAAGGCACTGAATTTTATATACCATAGCTTTATCAGAAATTTGTATCCACATTAATTTTTGATAATGTAGCTGTTTATATTTCATTATTATACAATTAAAAATTTCAAAGTCAAACTTTTTTTTATCAAATATCAGAATTGTTCAATGTCTTTTCAAAATTATGAGCATTAACGTAACGTTTTAATACCATTCAATTTGTCATCCATATAGCATGGCAAGTATTGTCATTCGACGGGATGTGAGATCTCTTTTGTTTTTCATTCAAAATTACTACCCAAACTAATAAATAAAAAAGCAACAAAAGTATTGTATATTTTAATAGTTAAAATCATTTCTGTATTTCTTAAAGTGTATAATTTATTGTAAAGCTCCCTCTGTGTGAAAACTCTTTCAAGAACTTTTTCTCCGTGAAAGAAGAAGGACTTATGGGTGGGCTTATTGGGGGGGGGGTGGGCTTATAGGTGTGATGTAGCAATTGGAAATAAAGAACTGGAGAAGTCTACATTTTATAAAAAATTTGTTTCCTAATTATACTTATCATTTAAATGTTATTTTTATTCACGAGATAAATTTACCGCTTTAATAATTTTTAAAATATTCGCGGAAAGATGCATTTTAGTATTTATTAAAATCAATAGAACAGACAGCTCAGAAGAAGTTAGGTTAGGTTAGATATCTGAAATATAACAAAGCACACAGGGCTATCTGCTTAAGGGAAGGGATACCTTCAGGTAGAACTTCCTAATGGAAACTGGCTTATATTCACATTATACATGAGAAAAAACACGAAAACCAACCATGCATCCAGTCCGTTCATCTGGGATAAAATTCCCAGTATTCAGTTGGCTTAGCCACTCGGCCACTAGTGGGGTGAGGCTTAGAAGAATCATATTCTAATATTTTTATTTTATTGATAAACAGGTAACAATGTTGTTAGTAAATTGAATGCTCATAAAACAAAGAATTTTTTACTGCATTTCAGTTTTTTATTTCATTTATTTAGCTTTTTTAGAGCCACCTTTTTTTTTTTTTTTTTTTTTTAAGTGGTGCTTTAAAATAAAAGAATGCATCGTACAATCAATGAAGCCTTAAAATGGATGAAATAATGCAAAGCCATTTTCCTGTTTCGCTCGAATTATGCTCGGCCATCACTTTTACATATTACAAAATAGTACTGCCTTTTTATAGAACTCAAAATGAATTCTTTATTATTATTATTATTATTATTATTATTATTATTATTATTATTATTTCATTTGTATTTATTTGCCATCCAAAATTGTGAAAGCAAATAAGGTAGTTACTTTGTAATACGATTTTAGTACATTTTTTGCATAATCAATGTTTTAACAGTAGTATGTTTTTGCATTTAATAGTTTTTAAGAGATGCAGCTTAAAATGATATTGATGTTTTAAGATTAAAATATCTATTTGATTCATGACTTCGTTTAATAATCAGAATCTTACTCTGTAACCGGAGGATTTGAAGTGACACCCTCTCTTCGTCAACGTAGACTTCATTCGCACACAAAAAGACCTCTGTAGACTCTGACCTGCATTGTTGGTAGGCAGAGTCATTGTTGGGGCTGCAAGAAAACACAGAACCATTTAAAGTACTAATCCAGGGAAAATCATTGAAAAAATAGTTGGCTAATAATTACTGAAGAATTAAATACATTTGCTGAGCTTATCTAAATAAATGAAGTTATTTAAATTTATTACCGCTGAGAGAGCTCTTATGTATCTTTATTTTATATTACAATAGATAATTCGTATTAGTTTTAATATAAAATATTATCATTAGAACAAAAAAGTTTTATTGTTAGATTTATTTAAAAATTTTTGAAATGAGGAAATATCTAATCTACACTAAAAATATAATATCTACACTAAAAATTTATTTATCTAGAGTTCTAGACAATAAAGTAGCATTTTATTTTGACATTAAAAATTGGTTGACAATGTACAAAATTTTAATTTTAACTTATAATAGCCCTTAAATCTTCTTTTTTTGATCTAATCATTTCCTCTTTCTATTCTGAAAGCAGGAAAATTCTTACAATAAAATCTCTTTGAAGTGCATCATTCCAAAGTTTGTGACTAATTATGTGTTTTTTACATAACGTAGGTGACACACATTCTTTCTTACACGGAAATAAGAATAAAACTAATATTCTTTTATATAATGGTCTTAAAACTAAAACTTTTAACTATCAATAATAATAAAGACTAGTATGTTTTATGATGAGAAAAATGCTGCCCTACTGCCATGGTGAAAGAAGATCCAACTGCTATAACCTATAAGGTATTTTCTCTCTTCTTCCAGCATGCCTTTGTTGTGTAACGCCTAGCCCATGTTCCAGAGATCCAGGTACGAGTTCCGGAGAGGTCATTGCTCATGCCTCTACAAATCATGGGCAGATTAGAATTACGGAGAAAGCATGAATGTCTGCAAGTGTATAGTGTCCTCACGACATAAGGGCACTTAAATACTATCGAGTTGAGAGTCCTCTCGAAAGGCTGAAGGTAGAAAACTCTCAGGACTGTTCACAGGCCGGTTCTGCGTGAAAACTGGGAAACTCGCACTGTCATGTATAAGGTACCCAAGGATTAAACCTACAACAAGTGCAACTCTTGCCTCTTGGCCACGATAAAATTTGTGGATCTGATCTGGCTACAGGTTAGAAGCAGGAGGATTACACACAACAACAACAGCTGAGAAAAACACAGCACCTAAAACATTCTTAATATAACATCCAATGACACAAATCTCACACCACTCATTCCTGTCTGTGGAAGTGGCAAAATCACTGAGAACATGAGGAATTTTCGGGAAGGGGGTAGAAAAGTTATTCAAAGGGAATTATAACACTTGTGAAAGGGAATTTTTAAATAAACCTGTAAGAAATTTTCTCCCTAATTACCGCTTGCTTTTTTGGTGTAACTGAAAGCATGTCAGTCTAGCAATCCGGAGATCCAAAATTCAAATCTCGCTGAGGACATTGTAGTTTTTTCACATTTCCTGCAATGAGAAACCTAATGATTCTAAAAGTGGGCCCGAATGAAAATGTGGTGGACAATAATTCGTCACTCCCAGAATTTGGCGACGGGGGTCCCCCCGTGCCCAGTTGCCTTTTAATGTTTAAGAATGTAAGAAATTTACTGCCTCCTTACCTTCGTGGCGTAATTAGAAGCAGATCCGGCTAGCAATTGGGAGGGGGCGGACTTCAGGAATCCTGGCGAGGGCATAGCGTGTTTGTCATGTTTCGAGTTTCGGACAAAAAAAAAAGGGGGGGGGGAACTAATGATTTTACAAACTTGTCACATTAAGTGCAAAGCGACAACTCTTTAAAAAAAAAAGGGCTGTCGCTTTTGAGGGAACTAAGATCTGGCAGTGTGAATGCTAAATTCTTTATTTTCGTATCACGTTCATGTATTTTCAATTGGTTAAACACACATTTCTGCCAAAATCAAATTAATTAAATCATGATTTTTTCTCATATCAGAATACCAAAATGAGGTTTATGAAAACTGTACTCACGTGGTCTATCGAAGCCTGTGGGGGTGGAAGGGCCAGGATTGGAGGATGACCCATCATCAGATGCTACCGATGCTGGAGGTGAAGCTGCCGAGGGCGAAGAACACATGTTGATTCCTATTAGATCTGCAAGTTCTGACTGATCTTGTTGGTGAACGTAGTCGAAGACACTACTGCCTGTCATTTCGACCTAAGGAGAAACGGTCTTTACCAATTGTCTCATATATCTGGCGATGTTTTAAGAAACTCAACATCAGAACTAACAATTATTATGCTATATAACATATTATGCTATTATAACAATGCTAGAAATTCGTATCGGATTTATCCGATTTTTTGAAAGTTTCGTTAATATTTTGAATCTTAGTCATTGCATGATAAAGACATTAATTTAATTTGGTTTAAGGAAAGCAATCTTTGATACTTTGCAAAGTCTGTCGTGATCGCTGCGTGATTATTATTATTATTGTTAGTTAAAGAAAACTGCACAAAACCAATAACTTAATTTCTTAATAAGAAATGTGAAATATAGTATGTACTTGAAGAATGATTTACGTTCATGGTGACTAATTGCACAAATTAATTTAAAGAAAGACGCATTCTTAATGTCTAGGATTCTGTGTCTGAAACCCCTCTATCTGAATTTTAACTCTGCAACGCTGTTTTAAATAGAAATAAAGGCATAATGAAGTTCAGAGGGGTCCAGCACAAACAAGGTTTCCAAAGACAATGTACGCTTAGCTGTTGCTTAAACGTTCATTTTTAGTATCATTAAGTACACCAAAGTCCATTTGAAAGGAATCGGATAATGATTTCGCGCGAATATTCGAAACCGAATGCATTGTAAGCTAATTTCTTCTTCTTCTTGTTCTTTTTTTTTCTTCTTTTTTTGTACAAAACTTATCGTTGAATAAGTCATTCGATGTAGGACTTTGTCTTGAAGGATCCATTTCTTTCCACTGCTTTGGGGGTGAACAATTTTGGAACAGCTCCTTTCAAACATTGTTTAAAAAGTTCTTTATAAAGAGCTGGCTTTGTTCTTTTACTTTTTTCATAGCAGAGGATAGCATAATGTGCATAAGCGCTAATGGTAGCATAATTAGCGCATTAAGAATTTCGCAGGTAGTCATAAAAGCTACCTGCGAAACGTTCAGTGGATACGTGGTTGAAGCCATGTCTACCATGGAAAGTACCTTCAAGCCGTGTTTGATGTGACCATACGTTGTTATTGATCAACCGTTGGGTGTTTTTCGAATAACTAAGCATAATCAGTTTCTTAGGAATATATCTTGGAGACTATGCTGTTGTATGATACCTTGTTGCGTAGAGAAAATTCTTCACTAATCACGACCAAGTTGGGATGTTCTTCCTACAAGTCATAATACTTCAATAAGTTATCACACTGTTTTTCTCAATCAAAGCAAGTCGCGAATCGCTTGAAGTATTCGGTATGATGCTTTAGCGTTTGATTTTTCCATTGTCAATCCATGTATAGTACAGATTTCTTTCTTCAGTACAAAGATCCCTTGCTTTAGATGAATGCTTTAAGACAGAATATTTATATCTCATTTAAAAAATTTGCTATTTAGCCCTTCCAAAACCTGATTTTCTTTTACGAATTACTAATTTTATAATAACATGCTAAATATTCTGATTATAGTAACTAAACGAAGATTACTTCATTTATACATATGAAAAGCAGATGGGCATTTGCAATAGTTAGGAAATGATGTCATATGCATTTCTCACTGTATCATTTTAATCTAGCTCGATATTTCTACCCAGTTTTTTTTTAATATTCAGCTTATCTTCATCTATAATTTGGAAGAGCCTTGTATATCTACGTTACATATAACTTTGTCTCATGTAATATTTTATGCATTGTTATTTGTTTTTATTAAAGACAGAAGTAGTAATTATAGACGGAAATATTTGTGTACACATGTTTTGAAATACCTTATGAAGAAGCATTACAGTTCATACAGGAATGCTCTGGAAATTAAACATTGACTGCAGCATATACCAAAGCAGATAATTTGCGATCATTGACTAATAAACAGTTGCGTCGCGGCTATTTTTTAATGTAATAAAATACACTTTTCTCATTTTCTGCAAAATCAAAGACAGCAGATTTTTAAAATCGAATAAAATTTCCATTTTGGAGAGAAAATTCTGGTTTTTAAATTAGTTTTCAAGTCTTGTGTATTTGAAAATTCAATATTTTTGAGTGATGCAGTTGTAGAAGTAAAAAGAGAAAATTCTTCTTACCTCAATGGTCGTACAAGTTAGAAGTGGCCATACACATTCAGGATGAGTATCTAGTTGATGAATTACTTTATTTTTTGAAAAGCCTAGAATAACTTTTTTATGGAATTGAAATAATGTTCAAAGAAAGTTACAATGTACAATGTTCAAATAAGAACAACACCCCTCCTGTATTTATGTAAATTATTGTTTATACTGACCAGCTGATTGTGCAACCAGATAAAAAGCTCAAAAATAGTTTCTTTTTTTTTTTTGGAGTTACAGAGGAATATGTACAGGCATGTTCCCTTCGCTGTATTAATAACATATAGTTTTAATCTGTGCACTTTTATTCCTTTCTTGCAAAATTTTGATTTTGATTTTGAAAAAAACAAGGCAAATTATCACTAAAAATGAAATAAATCATCATAAAATACCTGTGATAATCCTAAATAAATAGATACTGTTTCTGAAATGTACAAAAAACGTCCATCAGCACCAAGAGCGAAGGCAAAACCATCAAGTGACTGCAAAAAGAAAATAAATTTTCAATAAACAAGAAATGAAAAGAAGGAAAATAAAAGTTAACTATTAATGGATCCCGTTTCTTATGAACAAACACTTTTGAACTAACCATTCTCTCATAATTGCTATGCATTTGAGTGTGACATTTAAAATACAAGAAGTGTTGCATGTTTTGTTTATTTTAAGCTGCTAATTTTGAATACAAACATGATTTTATATATTTATGATAGAATAATATGTTAGTCTAATTTGTATTTCTTTATATGTAAGTGATTAGGGAAGCACCAATTCACTTTATATTCATGGCCGAGAAACTTCAGAAGCCTTACGTAAGTATCTGCATCATTAGCGTTACTAATTAATTATACGGCATAAATTGATTTTGAAATGACGCGGCTTAGGGAGATTTATTATGAACAGCTAATATTTTTGGGTAAAAGCCAAATTAAAATGGACAGTTTAGGCTCTATTGCAAATTAAAGTTAGAATTCTGGTTTACATATTATTTTACATATATATAAATAATATAATGCAAAAAATAATTAATTAAGTTAATCAAGTATTAAATTAATTAAATTAATTATATATATACACATATGGTTCTATATTTAACATCCGAGTACACATATGCGCCTACTCTCCTCGGCTAACAATGGACATTTTCTTTCATTACCTCTCGAAATATTAATTTCCATTACTTTCTACTATTCATTATTAATTCTTGTTCAGGTAATACTGAATGTGAATACAGGAAATAATCAATTTCTGCCAAATCTAAAATATATAATGCATCACGAGTAAAAAATGTAACATGCTCAAAATAAATTGGCGATGTGGAATGTAGCTACATTTGTTCCTTTTTTTAGTGCTGGAAAATGCCATAAGTCTTAGAAACCCGAATGAGCGTATATCTTGACAAATGTATTATTTTATAATGCATGAGCTTCTTAATTTTTCAACATAAGGAACTAGACACCTAAAACTAATTAATCATTCAGACGTCCACCACTTTTTAATTACAAGTATAGCCTACACAACTCATTTTTACCTGTAGTATGTGCGTTGCTTGATGTTGTTCGAAGAGATCTATGGCAACCGATGACACGGAGCGAGGCCTCAGACTCCCACCTAAAGAGGGGATAAAAGAAACAAAACAAGAGTTATTACCGAGTGATCTTGTTTAATTCAGTTTTAGAATATAACATCTTTCTAGTAATTACTGCATTATAAGCAAGGTCGAAAGTTCATATGAAAAGTTAATACTGCCATTCTTTCATTATGAGTTACTTCGCAGAAAGAATGATGCATTTTAATAATGCTAGCAATTAATTATAACAATTTTTACTTTTAATTTTTCTCCTTTTGGATTTTTTTTTTTTTTTGCTTGACAATCCTTTGTAGTTTAAAGTGTAGAAAAAGAAAAAAAAAACTTACCTTCTAGTATGACTGAATTTTGTACATTGCCTTATTTTTAATTTTTAAAATACTCTAAAAATTTTTTAATTTAATTCTAAAAATTTCCATATATTCTGTTTTATGTGTATTTCTTGCTTTTCTTTTACCTTTGACAGATATAAACGTTTTTAATATGATATTTTATGAATGCAATAAATAATAAACAATAGAAAGCTATAGTACGATTTATTATTAACGTAAACTTAATATTTAAAGAACACTAATAAATCATTGCACTTTAAAGATTGCATTTAGATCAATAACTCATAAACTTAAACTCCTTCAATAACACGTTTTATGTGATGGAAAAATTTTAAAACATGTAGTTTACACTTTTCTCCTATGTTATTGGACTTATTTCTATAAATAAACGACTCATTCCTGTACTTTCAGTTTACTAAAAATATTTTAAAAGTACATATTTACAAATCCGAAAGGTTTGAGATTTAAGTTTGCTCAAAAGGACTCAGAAATGGTCCATGTGGAATAGCGAAACATTTTATAAGATACTAGATGAATATACATTAAGACTAACATGGAAACGTTATATATCTTCTGCATATTTGAAAAGTGAAAAAAATAACTAACGTAATTCTATTAAAATACTGAGTGTTTTTAATTATATATATCATAAAGTAAACGAATTTTTATTTAAACCAATCAGATCCAAACGTCAAAAAATAATATTCTTATCTCTTGCTTTTAAATAGCTTAGTTTGTTCATTAATAGAAGATAGATTAAATATGAAATATAGATATCTTAGATTTTGCAAAGTGGCAAGAGATCTGAATGAGAAGTGAAACACTGCAAAATCCCGTTTCGAGATTAATAACCCGTTTGGGCTTATAATAAACTATACGACTACGTTACTTGACTGAGTGGGAGAATATAATTCATATTTCGTCGAGCCTTCATTCGAACCCAAAATATTTGTGCCTAACTAAATCGAAAAATTTAATATTTTAGATATTAGCATTTTTATTATTGCAGATTATTAGCTATATATTTAACATTTGACTACATATAACTAGCAATGCAATAGAATTACTAGATGGTAGATCTAAATTTCAGTAAAAAGGAATGGTACGGTTAAGAAAAATATTACTGTTACTTTTCTAAATGAGTTTCTGAGTTATTAGTATTTAAAAATAAATCTTAATATTTATACAATGATACTATTCCTATATAATCCGGATTTCTAATTTTACTTTTTATACAATCATTTCATTCATGAAAATGATGTAAGAGTTATACAATATATAAAGATACAAACCAAATTGTAAGCTAAGTTTAATACCTCAGTTATAACTGTACAAATTTGTGATTGATTTTGATGACAAAAATTGTAGAATTGATCGTAAGTTCCTTATAATAAATGTAAGGTCTTAAGACCTGCTGTTCGGTTGAGGTCTGAACAAAGATCTCTCCTTTCGGACAAGTGTACTTCTTCCTTGCTAATCGAACCCTTACTAGTTAGTCACCGTTCCTAGCTAGTCGGTTAGTTTCTACTTAATAAGAATACAAGTATAGCCTGATCGCAGTCCTGAAAGGTGACAAAAATCTCCTGGGACGTGTTCCCATCACCAAACACTAGCGGTTCCCGCCTGTTACCAAGATTGTTTCTCAATTAGCCTCCTTTATAAATTCTAAGATTTAGGCAAAACCCAACGTTATAACCTGCTATCGAGGACTCTATTTTAATTCTCCTTTTTATTGCAAAGCCTGTGACTTATGTAAAGTCCAGTATCACAACAAACTGTTCCAACGTTTCTAAAGGTTATATTTTAATCAAACTCCCATGTTAAGCCCGGGACTTAAACGGACTGTTTTGTAAAATCCTGCGTCATACTAGAGAGTCTCACCAATTAATCTTAAAGTCTGGAACTCGAATTAAAATTTCGACTATTTCAGGCTTGACTGAGTATCGAGACCCAACAGTAGCCGAGTGTTTAAGGTCGCTGTATACTGGTAGTTCAGCCAGGCTTGGATTCAAACCCAGGCGAAAAAGGTGGCTGCATGGTTATTTTCCGTAGTTTTTCCCTTATGTAACGTGAATACGAGCCAGTTTCTGTAAGTAAGTCCTCCACGAAGGTATCCCTTCTCTCAGGGGAGACAGCCGTCGTGCCTTTGCCATATTCAAATAACCCAACCTAACCTGACTGAGTCCCAAATTCTGAACATTCTCCTACAGCTTTGGAAAGACGAACTTTTACTATGACTAATGAGAAATTTATGAAAAAGAAAATAACCATGCGCAGATGATAAGAAAATTATTATTATTTTTCCTGTTAGTATTCTACGTAACGATGTGTGCGTGCTGTACGTGGAAAAAGCAGACACATCATGTATAAATTCATCGTAAGATGGCCATCAACGGCCTTCAAACACAAAAATACGTAGCTGAAGAACCGTACAAAGTATCTTTACTCGTTCCTTGACAATATAATAGATGGAAATTTGAAACATCGTGTTTCAAGGTCATACGTAAATGAAACTAAAGTCAAACAAAAGAAAACTGATCTTCCTTGATAACTATGAACTAATCTTCGATACATCTTTAAATAATAAATTCCATGAACTTGAGTTCGGAATGTTTTGAAGTTGCCTTCGAACGTTACGAAACGAAACTAAATCTTCTGTTGATGATCGTGGAATATGAGCAGCTCTGAATACAATAGATCTCACAAGCGATAACATCATATTTTTACCACCTGCCAAAGACGAATGATGTCTTTGTTTCTTCTCGGAAAATAAAAAAACAAATTTGGTTTTAGTACCAGACAAATGATACAACTATTTGTTTTTTGAAGCTTCTTCTTCGTAATGCAATCAACTAGCTAAACCATGATATTAGGATGATGTAATTGGGCTGTTGCGGATACATTTCATGTAGATGGTGTAGTGAAGGCTGCTGTAGTGGCAGTTGCGAGTGGTTTATCGCTGGTTTTCTTTGTGATTACTAATCTAATGACGTCATTTTAAGAGAGATACAACAAAACAAATAAATAGCCAAACAACTGAATCTCTGAAGTATTTTAAAAAACATCGGGGCGCAGCGAACAAATTTCTTAAGAATAATCTTCAAGTACTAATTTGCATATAATAATACAAAATAGTAACGGATGTATGTCATGTGACAAAATCGTGAAGAAGAGGTTTTATTTTGAATCGTGAAGAAGAGGTATTTGGATTACTCACCGAAAAGATTACGTTGTAAAATGGTTTTATTTTGCATATATGATAGTACCTCAAAGTAGATCCAGGGTCTATATCCCTGCTCCGCACCTCTGAAACATTATACCAACATTTATTATAATGGCAAGAAGTAAAATGTATGCTTTATATCGGATGACGTACGTTAAGCCTGAAATTAGTACGCATCGTAGAATCCAAAGATAGCATTATTTATTGATTATTAGGGTTAACTGATCTTAAAGGATACCTTATTTTAGCTGTAGTCAAAATATTGGGTCATCCCAAAGGTTCTGCGGTATTTTAAATTGAAGCACGATTTCTTCCAATTATTTTGTTACTAATGTTACGGAATTAACTTCAACTAAGTAGGCGCTTAACTAAAAATGGTCTTTTATGCTCACGTTGCAGAATTGTAACATATGTTGTTGGTATATTTTTTGTTTCAGCACAGTAACACAAGTTCATTTTAGTTATATTATGCTCTTTTATTTAAAATAGGAAAGGAAAAAAATGCTAGTAAAATTTATGATATATGTGAAGAAAGTGCTTTGTCTGATGACACAGTTCGAAAATGATTTGAGATGTTTAAGAGTGGAAATTTCAGCTCCGAATGTGATGCTTGCTGTGGATTAAAATCTTCTGTGAAGAAGGATCTATTAAAAGAAGCCATCACTGAAAATCTAAATTATATGATTCAGGAACTATAAGAGAAAATAAATATTCCAAAATTTACAGTACATAATTACTTGAAGAAGAGTAGATATGTACGCTGCTACGATGTTTTGGGACCCTATACTTTAACAAAGCAGGATATCCTTGTTGGAGTTTTGGCATGTGATTCTTTTCTGAAGAAGAACGAACTCCTTGTTTTGAAACGGCTCATTATTGAACATATACTATAAATATACTCCAAATACTATACTACAAATATACTCCAAATACTATACTACAAATATAATCTAAATACTATACTACAAATATACTCCAAATACTATACTCGAAACAATACTATAAAATATTTCTCTAGCCTTCTTAGCATGCCTTCGTGGTGTGAATGGTCAGCACACTTGGCGCGTATTCAAGAGGTCGAAGGTTCGAGTACCGGCGAGGGCATTGCTAATTTTCCATGTCTCCTGCTTCGAAATAACCTAATGATTTTACAATATTAAAAGAAAAAGATCATGGAGTAAGCCAAGAACATCCTTTAGTAACATTGAGAGAGTAGCTGCATTCCAAAAAAGTAGTGCTTTGAGGTGGGAATTCAAAGGAGTTGCATGCATAGAATCGCTATTACAGTACATTATGAATTGTTGCCACTGTCTTTCATCAAGAAGTGATCGGCACCAAATTGTGATGATAGCCAAACACAAATTTATTGTGTATGGCAGAGATATTTTGTGCCATTCCCCATATTCGGTAAACCTTGCCCTCTTGGATTTTCCTCTCTTCAGGTCACTTCAGATTTGTTTAAATGTCA